CTAAAGAATACAAAGGACTTTTAAGAGTTAAGCACTCAAAGCTGTGGGGTCTGGATGGGTGACTCCATCAGTTTTCATTTCTCTCATGTTTAATATCTCAATTTCCTGAAATCCCAAATACAAAGCACTTAATGGTTTTTGTTTTGGAAATATTCGGACACAAGCAAAACTGGAACAAATGCCCCCTTGATTCTTCCCAGGGATGGGATGAGAGCATTTGATGTACTCATGGACTGCAGTTTAGCCCTTCTGCTTACCTGATGGGGTTCCTCTCCATCCGAGGGAAGGGAAGATGGCGGAGTCCTTGCTACTGGCATCATTCCAGCTCCTGTATGGGAATGAGGCATCAGTTGCAACCATTTCTCACAGAGACAAAGATCTAAATCCTATAAACGCATACTAGATATTTAGACAAATAATAATTCTAATACTAATACTAATATTAATACTAATACTAATAAAAGAAGGCTGACAAAATTTTTGTGTGCCCTTAAAAACTAATTGCTATGTTTTACTCAGACAGGAAGCCCAGAATTTGTCTGAGGAAGAGAATTTGCCCCTGAGACCTTTTTGTCTACTTTAATTTTAATGCTGTTTTGCTTTCGGCCTTCTATGCTAGCACAGATCAACATGGCTTCCTTTTTACTAAAACTTACTAGAAAGTAACTCCAGTCAAATGCAAAAGATTGCAATAAAAGGGGGAACGGCCAGCTCTTGGCCTGAGACTTAGGAGATCTCGTTGCCACTGAAACTCAAAACTGCCATGAAGCCCACAGGATGATCACAGCTCAGTTATTCTTCCACAACCAGACCTACCTCACAGGATTGTTGTTCTCAGGCCTGAGTTGTTAAGAAAAAAACCTTCAAGGTCTTGGGCAGATTGAGTCAAACATGGGATACAAACACAATAATCGAATCAATGTGTGGAGAGACCAACCAGCAATGCAATGACAACTGGACGGAGTGAGACAATTGACATTCTGCCCTATCTTGTCCTCCTTTGGGCACTTCATGAAAATGCGAGATTCCCTGGAAAAAACAATCCTGCTGCGAAAAGTGGACGGCAGCAGGCAAAGAGGAAGACCAAATACGAGATGGACTGGTAACCTAAAGGAAGTCACAGACTGGAGTTTGCAAGAGCTGAGCTAGGGCTGTTGAGGACACGACATTATTCTGGGAGATGGATCATTCATGAGGTTGTTATTGCTCAGAGGTGATGTGTCAATACAAAACAACCATTAAAACACAATACAGAAGTGGACGGCAGCAGGCAAAGAGGAAGACCAAATACGAGATGGACTGGTAACCTAAAGGAAGTCACAGACTGGAGTTTGCAAGAGCTGAGCTAGGGCTGTTGAGGACACGACATTATTCTGGGAGATGGATCATTCATGAGGTTGTTATTGCTCAGAGGTGATGTGTCAATACAAAACAACCATTAAAACACAATACAGTATATAGAATGGGGGGGAGATACTCAGGGAGATAACCACGCAGCCCATGCTTCTCCTCCATCCTTCAGATGGGGAGATCACCCTCTTCCTTTCCCCTGCCGGCATTTGACTTTACCCTGCAAACTGGCACCTCCTTCACCGCCTGGCGTGTTCCCCCTTGGCAGAAGATGCTGTCTGCTCTCCGGCTGCGCCGCCTTCTCTGTCACTGAGAAATCAGGCTGAATGTCCACATTTCCCTGAAAGAACAGTTTAGGATTAAGTCCAGAAGAACTTAAGAAAAGGAATGAGAGAGGGACAAACACTGGAAGGTTGGGGGTGGAATTCGGGGGTCAGGGGATGTCTGTCTCTGGATATTTCCAAAGGACTGTAAGCCCCTTGTAGAACATCTTAAAAGATCCTCCTTTAAATTTGCGACCCATTAGGTGGGAGGTGGGCTATTTCTGAGGTATACATAATAATAATCAGTGTGTCCTGTCCATTCTGACTTATGGCCACCCTTTCCAGGGTTTTCCAGGTAGTGGTTTTCCATTCCCTTTTTTATGGGGGTATTTATGGGACTGTGCCACTGGCCCAAGGCTACCCAGGCTGACTTTTTCCTCAGGAAGCCCAGTGGGGGGAATCGAACTCCCAACCTCTGGTTCTGCAACCAGGGACCTCAGCCACTCAGCTATCCACCCGGTCCCTGCACTGGATCTCTCATCCATTAGATAAAAGGTGGAGGACTTCTGGGGTGTAGGGAGAGGTAGAGAGCCACCCCTCCCAATCCCATCAGAGACCTCATCGTCTCCTTTGGTGGTCTCTCTGGGGCAGAAAGAGAAATCTGGAATTTTCATACAGAAAAAATAACAGGGGCAGCTTGTTTTAAAGGAGGATAAAGCTTTCCACAGATATTTTTCTACTCTGAACCAAGATCCATGCTTCCTGTAGACTTTGCTTCCAAAGAGTAGAGGCAGTGCACCAAAGTTAGGCAGAACCGCAGAAGCTTGGGGGCCATGGCAGCACGAGGGGCCTCAGGAGGGGCTGTGGGGCAGAAGAAGGGGCCACAGGGACTGAGGCTACCTGTCTGAAGAGCCCCAAGTGGGAATCCTCTCACCTTCCGCTCCTCTTCTGCCTGGCTCAGGAGGAAGCCTTCGGCCAGGGCCACCGCCTGGGAACTGGTCTCCGCTCCACATTCCCTCACCCAGCGGGACATCTCCGGGGGAAGGATGGCCAGGAACTGCTCCAGGATCACCAGGTCCAGGATCTGAGCCTTGGTGTGCCTTTCTGGCTTCAGCCACTGACGGCAGAGACGGTGGAGTCGGCTGCAAGCTTCTCGGGGCCCTTCCGCTTCTTTGTAGGAGAACCGCCTGAAGCTCTGGAGTTGTGTATCTGAGCTGACAACATCCTCCTCCAGGATTTTCTGCAATGATCTCTCCAGGAATCCGGCACTGCTCTCAGCCATGAGGACATCAGAAGCTCTTTCTCGATCAAGGTCAAAAGCTGGTTTATGTTCTAAGAAAGCCTTCAGTGGAATCAAAGAGGTCCTTCCTTCTCTCTCTCTCTCTCATTGTGAGGAAAGACTGTCTTTATCAGACGACACTCTTCAGAGGCTGCAAAGGCAGGTCATTTTTCTAGTAACAATCATTAAATTCTAGGAGAAAGGGAAAAAAAAGTTGGAATTGACAAAAGCCGCCAGCCACAGCTCCCCTCTCCTCTTCCTTCATCTCCTGGTAGTGCTCAGTGCACCTCTCTTACACCTAACCGTGATAACATTGGTCTTAATTTAGGGGGTCTCTGATCTAAGAGAAAGAGCTGTCTGGACATCTCACTGAGTCAGGCATTTGGCAAGGGAACCAGCGGTTGGGAGTTCGATTCCCCCTCTGTGCCCTCTGGAAGGCGGGCCAGCCTGGGTAGCCTTGGGGGAGCAACACAATCCCAGGGTGTCCTGAGAAGAAGGGAAGGGGATGCCACTTCGATATACAGCTGATTGTCGGGTTTTCAAAATGGCCCCCTGCTGTGCTTTAGGAGGGATTCTTCCCAAGAAAGGGAGCAGAAAATGGCCGCCCTATGGAGGTTCTTCGCTGGATGCTGAGACATTTAGCCCATTGGAACACATTAACCAGGTTTTAATGCATTTCAATTGGTTTTTTTATTTCGCTTGACAAGGATTTCGTTCTATATCCTCATCAAGTGAGGCACCACTTGTACTCTCCGCTTAGAATACCCTGAAAAGAGTCACCAAATGTCAGAGCTAACTTGATAGCATAGGAGAAGGAGCTAATATTATTTATGGGCTCCTCTTCCCCGTCAACTGACAACCTAGCCAGCTTCTGGAGGTGGTCGGGTGGTCGGCTGGGGGGGGGGCTGCAAGGCTTTGCATCAGGAAACGAAACTTTGGGGGCCAATCTGGAGGAGGGGAAGAGATCCTCTCTCGCTGCCTCTTCGCCTCCTAATGGATCCCCTGACCCCAAATCCTTGGCGAGACTCACCATTCCTCCCCCCCGAAGTGCATTGAGGGGCAAAAGGGAAATGGGCTCCCCACGACCCTGACTGGAGCCTAGGCACCCCTGGGAGAAGCTGGCTCCCCTTTTACCCTCCAAAGGAATTGAGAGGAGACACAGGACGGGATTATTTGGGAGGGAGAAGCCTTGGTCTTGGGAGACTTCCAACCCCATCCCAGGTTACCTTCCCCTCGAGAAATCCCAATTCTCTGCACTTAACCTTCGGTTGCCTGACCAGTTCACTGGATCTTGCCACAATGCATCCAGATTCTAGAACCTTCTATTGCATTGCATTGCAATCTGACTATAATGGAGTCCGTTTGCTCCCTCCTCGATTTGAGGGAAGGATCTCGATCTGCCCAGATTTCCCGCCCAAAAAATCCCTCTGCTTTTTCCCAGGTCGATTCTCATCCCCACTCCAAAACAAAACAAAAAACAAAATCTGGAGCCACCCCTTCTCACCTGATCTCCCCTCCCATTTCCAGGGGGAGGTCTGGGCCTTTGAACCCTCCCTTTCAATCTTCCATCATCTCCCTCCCCTCAGACTCCTTTGCTCTTGGCTGCCACTCTTGTCTCCCACTTCCTATCATGTGACTGAAGCCAAGCCAGGCTCCTGGCAAGGGAAGC